TTGTCTGAAGTGAAAATTGAATATGAAACCTTTATTTATTCAAACTGTGAAACACTGGAAATAAAGTTTAAACAGACAGTTACTGATGGATGTTCAGCCCTGTCAGAGCCACGCTTGTCCACAGTAACCACACTGGCCCCAGTACAATAATGACATTCAAATAATGACGCAGCAAACACTGACATCATATCCCAATTATGTTCATTATATCACATTAATGTTTTCTATCGTCTAATTAATATAATATTATACTTTACACACAGTTTTATTTTTAAATACATTTACATTTTAGTTATATCATAACTGATCATAAGCGATGAATTACATGCATGAATCATAATATAATTATAATTCCTGTAAGTGCGGTGTTTTTCCTGCAGGGGGCGGTAGTTTGCTTGCTGTTATTGTCGTCAGCAACATGAAAATATGAGCAGAAGAAGAAGCTGTAGCGTCAGCAGCTCCACGCGAAAGAAAGAGACTCACACCAGACTCCGTTCAAAAAGTGGCCGATTTAAGGTCAGAGCTGCAGCTTTAATACAAGAACTGTGTGTGTAACTGCAGACGGTTACTGCAGGTTTCAAGGTGGAGGCTCCCACTGCTGTGGGTGGAGTTAAAGGGCAGATCACGTGGTGATTGGCTCCAGCAGAGTCCAGGCCGTGATCAGCAGCTTTTACAGCAGCTGGTTGGTTATTGGGTGAGTGGGTCTAACCTTTGATCTCACTCCGCCTGTTATTCTGAATAACACAGTACATTTGTTTCCAAGGCAACTGACATTAAAACAAAATGCTCCTCTCCTTCCTGCACTGCATGCTGGGAGTGTGAGTGAGTTTGTTTGGGCTGTATTTCAGAAGTTTACACCCTGTGGTTGTTCATTGGTTAAAGGTAAGATAAGTTTATTTCACTGGGTTGTGTAGAATGAGGAGTTTGAGTTAACAGTTCACTGTTGAGCTGGACACAGACCAGAAACATGGCAGAGAACGAATTAACCCAGGAATATACTCATGAGTCAAAGTGACCAGTGTCACTGTAACAGCAGTGATAAGGTCAGCAACATCACCTGTGGGCTTCATCATCGGACCATCGTGCAGCAGTAGCACCGCAGCGGTGCTCGCATTAACAGTTCAGTGTTCATGATGAGATTCCCTCGACACCCAGCCAGTGGGTGTCGAGGGAAATCCCTTGAAGTCGTTAACTCAGTGGGAAATCAGGAAAACTTGAGAATCTTTTGTCTCCATATCAGCTACAGGAGGGAACAGTGGACTCTGGGAAATTTGTTTTTCCAGGAAACTGTTTTTCCTGCTCTTCCACCACTGCAACAAAGCTTCGTTACTTGGTCCTCTGCAGTCCAGGTGGTGCGGTGCTTTTAGCAGCAGGTTCTCCGAGAGGCAGCTGGAGGTTCGTGTGCAAGCCTCCGCTGCAGAAACGTAGTGGCTCTGCAGTGGGGGGTGTGGTCCATGGGTCCACCCTGCTACATTAGTGGGGTGGATGTCCCAGCTACATCACTCCAGCAGCGGCGCTGAGAGTGCTCATATTCCCCTCCCAAATACAGCAGCACAGCAGCCTTTCCAGCTTTCTCATTGGTCAGGCAAAGATGGGATTCATGCTAACTAGGAGAAAGAAAACGAGGTCCACAGATGTTGACCTCCAGGGTCTGACTGCTTATGAAACGGCGGCACATCCACATGTTTCTGTGAAGACTGAACTCTGATGCTGTGCGTCTGTGAACACGTGCAGTAATATTTTCCCCTCTTTCTTTGTGTAACTGTTGACAAAGAGTTGTTTCAAAAGTCAAAGGTCAGAGGTCAAAGGTCTCCTCCTCTCTGAGGTCGTCAGTCACAGGTCCACACTGTCGGACTCTCTGGTGTCAGACCACAGACGCCGTACCTGAGCGTTTGTCCTTCAGAGAATCAGGTGTGGAGGTCATCTGCTGTCACCTGTCTGCAGGTAGGAGACCCCGCCCACATCAGAGCCATGCTGAGACCTCTGAGGCTCCTCCTCTCAGGCCTGAAAACGCAGCCGAGCCGCTGCTGCTCCAGCTTCGTGTCCAGGATGAGGTAACTCGTTATTTTGCTCGATTACTGATCGATCAGTCGGTCGATCGATGGGCTGATCAGCTGATCTGTCCTTTCAGGTATGTGAACAGGCTGAAGGAGGACGACGAGGCGTGCGCAGCGGCGCTGAAGGATGGCTCCATCTTCCTCTTCCACCGCTTGTCTCCTCTGCTGCGACGCCCCGACGCCAGAACCTTCAGCCCAGCAGCTTTCACCTGCTCAGGTACAGAACCGAGACCGAGCGAGCAGCGCTGAGGACCTGACAGTCCAGTGTGATTCCTCCTGAGACGCTTTTTCGTGTTCCAGATGTGCAGTTGGTCCTACAGAGGCTCGGTTCAGACGGGTCGCAGCTGAAGGAGGCAGTTCTGATTGGCTGTTCTGAGCAGAACCAGGCTCAGTTCTGTCTGGATGTCGGTGAGAACGATTGAAATCCAGATCCCTGCATTGTGAGCTCGCCAGCGCCATGTTCCTGACTCTGGAGATTCTGGTCTCTGTTCAGGAGAACTGGACCAGGCGGCGGTGGAGGAAGCCTCTCAGGGGACCTTCATCGATCTGAGGAAGGCCTTCTTTCTGCTGCCCGCAGCTGAGGCGCCTCTAGTGTCCAAGGTGAGTGACTGCAGCTGACCTCTGATACCCACCTGTTCGGTTCTGGTACCAAATCAGGAACGTTTCAGCACCGTCCCACCAAACCGATACTGATACCGCCCCAGCAGAAGAGTCACACAGTAGTCTGTGTGTCCTGACCCTGCAGGGTCAGGCGCTGCTGCATTGGCATCAGACCAGCAGGTTCTGCGGCGCTTCGGGCCAGCCGACTCAACGAAACCGAGCAGGCAGCCAGAGGTTCTGCAGCAGCAGCTCCACCGTCTACTACCCGAAGGTAACGTCCTCGGTGCAGAACTGAACCAGAACCAAGCCGGGTCTGACTGTTTGTGTCTACAGATGTCTGCGGTGGCGGTCGCTCTGGTGTCTGATGGGAGTCGGTGTCTGCTGGGCCGCCAGCCATCCTTCCCACGTGGACTCTACAGCGCGCTGGCCGGCTTCTGTGACATGGGTCAGGCTCACCCGTGTGTGTGTGTGTTTGTGTGTGTGTGTGTATGTGTAGAACTCACCCGTGTGTGTGTGTTTGTGTGTGTGTGTGTGCGCATGTGTGTGGTCCCAGGTGAGACTCTGGAGGAGGCGCTCTGCAGGGAGGTGGCAGAGGAGGTGGGTCTGGAGATCCAGAGCATCTCCTACAGCTCCTCGCAGCACTGGCCGTTCCCGCACAGCTCCTTCATGCTGGGCTGCCACGCCTTGGTTAGCCCCGCCCACACTCAGGTGAGCTCACAGGTGATTATTGAGGTTGTGTAATCAGGACGAGGAGAAGCGAGCTCGGAGCTCCTCGTACTCAATGATGTAGTGTCATGTGACCTGCTCTCGTTTCATGTGCAGCTGAGTGTGGACAACTCAGAGCTGGAAGATGCTCGCTGGTTCACCATGGACGAAATCACCCGTGCCCTCCAGGTGAAAGCTCCGCCCAGGAGAGGCGACCCCCCCATCATCTGGCTTCCTCCGAAACACGCCCTCGCCAACCGCCTCATCAGGGAGTGGGTGGAGCAGCAGCAGCAGAGTGAGGGCGGAGAGTGATGGAGGCGGAGCTGCAGTCGGAGTCATCAGATCACACCTGAAACACGGATGTTTCACCTCCGCTCCTGAGATCTCACAGTTCAGAAGTCCATTCAGATTCTCTGATTTTAGCCTCCTTCACAGATTTAACCTGTGACCTTATTGAAAGAAACTTTTAATGTGAAAAACATTCAGTCAGTCACGACAGGAAGCAGCTCGTGGACTCTGACCTGCTGATGTTTCCTCCAAACTGGTTTTAATTTTTAATAAAAATCCCAGAATGGAAAAAAGCTAGTGCTCGGTTTCTTTTGTCTGAGAAAGAATCAGCAAACACCAGCGTTCACTCATCAAACGTCCGATTTAACAAACGAGCTGTCCGAGGGGCATTCGAGGCCGCGGTGGCTCACCTGTCCAGGTTTACCTGAGGGCTCGCAGGACAGACATGAACTCGGGTGGAAGAGAAACATTTTCACTGCCCTGCTTCTGCTCAGCTTTTATTTTGGTATTTCCTGTGAAACACTGGAGGGGCGTGATTGATCACTCTTCTTCTGTGGTATCTGTCCTCCGGGCTCACTCAGGATAAAGCCGTTTGTGATGACAGGTTTGCTCTGCTCGTCCTCAGAGTGTGAGGAAGCTCCCAGGATAAATGAGCCAGTCTGGTTTGTGAGATTCGTATCAGGACGATAAATAAATGAGGCCGACCGCCCTGCGTGCAGCTTTGACCCAGAGTGGCAGCACTGCTGAGAGCTAAACATGGTCTTCTCTGTACACCAAAGATTTCTGTTTATCCATCATGTTTCTGATTGGATGGCTGTAAATGGAAATAGAGCAAAACGTTTTTTATAGAAAGTGTTTATTTGTTTGATTTTTAGATGAAAAAATAAATATTTAGCTACTCGTTGGAGGCACAAACCGTAACGTGTAACCTGATCCAGCCCAGAAACAGGCGGAACGACAGTCAGACATCCGTGAGCGCTGTCCGGATCATAGTTAGAAACGGAAGCGGCTTCCTGTTTGAACCGGAAGCCAGAGCAGCTCTTGGTGCAACCCCCCGTGTAGTTCGGGTCTGTGGGTCGGATCAGACTGGACTCTCGGTTCTTTCCTCCGGGCCCTCTGTCCTCTGAGTAACCGCTGAGAGCGGCCCGAGGTCCCGCTGATGGTCGGCAGGGCTCCGCGGCCTGTCAGCCCGCAGGATGAGCTTCTCCGCCGGCCTGCACACACAGCTGGCCGCCGTCATGGAGTCCCTCGTCCACGCTGCAGTGGCGGAGCTGAAGAAGCTGGTGGAGGCCGGAGAGGAGCCTACTGTGCTGGCCAGAGAGAGGACGGAGAGCCGCGAGAGGATGGTGAGGAGCGGGGACTGCCTGGTGTGTTGGTGT